CTTCTGGGACAAACTATATAAGACCACTTGAGCGACCGAACTACCAGCTTCAGTTACTTGTATCCTTTTGAAAAATAGCCTAGTGGTGTAGTAGTCTACTAGCGCTGTGACAAAACCTTCGTTACTATAAAATAATTCAATAATATATTTAACGCCGCTTAACTCCGGGCTGGAGCAGAAATTAAAAAGGAAACTAATATTAAATTTAATAATATAAAAAAAAAAAAGAATTTAAATTTGAAATTAAATACAGAAAATAAATCAAGTAATATAGCAAATTAATAACTATATATAAAGAATTAATAAGTAAATATAATGACGCAATCAGTGGTAGAAAGGCGGAGATTAATAAATAACCTCCGAATAAAAAACAAAAAGTAGAAATAAATCTTGAAAAGTTTATTAATAATAAAATTGTAATTAAAATCACGGAAAGCATAAAAACTATTGAAATTAACAAAGTCGTCTTCTAAAAGAAAAAAACTAATTCTTATATATATATGTATAGTACTAGTAAAAGATTTCTTATAATAAACAATAGCAATAGCAAGCGCACTTAATATATAGCTTGTCATAGGGCTGGCGCCCAGGAGTGTCTGCCTGGCTTGAACTCTATATAAGCCAGGCTTGCTCTCCGGTTGAGTGCACTCCCGAGGTGCGCCGCACGAACCACATTTCCAACCTTGGCGTTTCTGATCCCTTCGATATCCACACCTCTCTTGTGTATTTAGCTGTAAGCTTTATGCTATACTGGCACAGATTTTTCTTTTTCTCTTTGTTAAATATTATCACTTTCACCAAAGCCTACCTGCATGTATACCTCGTAGAACACTTACATAGCTATATTTCGCAAACAGAACTAAATAAGCATTATAGGATTGTTAACATTTTAACGTCAATTTGTACAGTAATCAATATAATAGGAATATTGGGGGGTTTTTTTTTTTAAAAAAAAAAGAAGAATTATAATAGGATTTCCTACGTTAACCGTAGTAAATACCTTAACAGCCCCATCAAACTAAAGTAAGTGCTTATATTATAGTAGTTGCTATATAACACGCATATATAAAGCAATATTAACATTAACTCCTCGTTAACAGAACTCTCGCTCTAAACATTAAGATAATTATCTACGCTGCGCTGCTCTTATGCATCAGTAATATATTAATTAAATATCTGTTTATTTATCTACTTATAAACGAGAGGTAACTAGTTGTTAACTACAGTTATTATATTAAGAATAGTATAAATAGCAGCAAAAGTATATAAGAAAATTCTTAGAAGCGGGCTTTCAAATAAGTTAAATAAGCAGCCATTGAAGAGTATAAATTTAATAACGTACTAGTTAACCTTCTTCTTATAATCTTTATTTAAAGCAACAATGTATTAGCGAATATTCTTGCAATTTTCGACTTGCTAGCAAAGCCGGTAAATACAGTAAGGCTCACACTTCTCGAAATATATACAAAGTCTAGTAATGTTAGCAGATTAGCAGTTATTGTAATAGTTGCATGCCGCGGTCATAACAGCGTGACCTAGTTCATCCGTCAAGGTAAATTTCTTAAAAATACCTTCGTTTCTAGCTTAACAAAGTAAGGCATTGTTAAAGGTATCGAAAGGTTTACTGGATTAATAATAGCAATTAAAGAATTTTAGGAACCAAATCAATATATTAAATAGTTGTGAAATAATTATATTTTGGGCAGTTCACCAAAAAGGCACAGTTCTTTGTTTTAATGATAATTTCAGCAACTGATAATAACGTACAACAATCCTATTATTTTGGAATCAATCGATCCCTAGAACCAACACTTTGGAAAGCTCCCTTTAGCTTTCAGCTGTCATGGTGCACCCCTGTCAGTGATTTAATGACTCTTGATGTTTTGGCGTCCCAGCACTGTAGCATACTGTATCACCTGTACAGCCTAGAATTGATACAGCATCGGCTTGTCTCAAAGATATTCAGGGGCAGCGAAGACTTTTGAATATCAAACGAAGTTGTTGGAGGAAGAGAAAATTACGAGGAATTGAGACAAAGAATTCTTCATCAGGGTTGTAGGCGTTGAGATTGTGCAACCACCGTATTTTAGCAAGCTGACCCTTTTACTGTTTATATGAACCGACGGGTGATGGTCCGTGATTTGCTGCCCGGGGAACGGGACCCCCGAGAATGGAGGTCCTTTGCGGGAGGCGGAGAGGGGGAGGGGTACCCCAAAAAATTGTGTGGTAGACTAGACTGGGAGGTACACAACCAAACGTCGGGTACCCTGAACCACACGGCACTGCTGCACTGCTCCTGCAGCTTTTTTTCTCCCTCTCACCTCGACGGGACCTGACCTTCCTCACCTTCCCATCCACCTGTCATCGGATGTCGGTCGCGCTTGTGTCCTCCGTTGAGACATCCTTCGGCGCACATTCCCTCATGGGAAGCCGTGATAATGGCCAATTTCTGGCCCTCTCACGCGCCTGGCGCTTCTCTCCGCCAGCGAGATTGGATGCTTTTGGCCTGTCAGTGTCCCGATGCCGACTGCCATTCTCTTCATGGATGACGGCCTTGATCTCATTGAGGTGAAGTGCCCGGCTGGGGGGTCCGGTGGCCACGGGGCAACCACGATCTCTCTGGAGGTTAGCGCACCACTGAGTGCGCCCTCCTGGGTCTCCTACACTACCAGAGAAACGGCACCCCTTGTTACAACACCTCGTACTGTACTGTACACAAGCAGTCGGTAGGTACCTCGCTCTCACACTCTCCCACCTTGTTGCCTCCATTTCAAGCCTCTAGGCTCGATTAGAAAGTGGATCGCTTCGTACTTAACCAGTCCATGTCCAGTGCTTCCACTCACTCTGACCAGGGCCCTGCCTTCATAGGGACGACGAGTGGAAAGTGGTTGCTCGGTTTCTCCTGGGGACCTTGTCACTGTCTCGCTACCTTCCTTGTATCGATCCAGTTTGTGTTCTTCTCCATGCGACCGGGTGCGCATTGTTCTTTTCGCCTTTCGAGTCGCAGCCGAGTTGTGCTCCTCAGGTTCCATTCTCCATCCCATCGTCCATCTCGACCGGACTCTGGACTCTCACACGCCGACGTTGAAGTGGACTAGACGTTGCGCCTTGTCTGTGTTTTCCGACTACTGCCCGTACATCCCGTCGTCCCTCGTTGTGTTCGGGTAGTGCTGTGTCGGTGCGCATGCGTCAAAGGCTTCACACTATTGCGCTTTGCTTCACCAGCCTAGAGATAGTCTTGTCAGACCTTCGATTCCCGTACATTCGCTCCTTAGGCTGCCTGGCTGTCTTGGTCATCGATCTGTCTCGGTCTTTCTGCCGAATCGCCACTCCTTTACGCCATAGACGTTTGGTCCAGAAACCGGTGCTGGGTTCCCAATTTTTCACCAAAAACTACTTTTGGAAAACACCAACTGAGCTTCGCTCGTTTTTCTCGTCAGAAGGACCTGTTTTTGACCCGATCTGCGTTCGGTATGTACCCGTCACTCAACTTCTCGATTCCCGTTCTCTCCGCTTCTACCGGGCAGTTACGAGCTTCCACTACTTGGACTACTTACATGTTGTGAACCACGAGGCTCCGAGCCCCTCTTTTTGTGCGCCATATCGTGGGGTCAAGACCATCTAGAATCTCCCGTCCATCTTGTTATTCGTCATATTACTAGCAGTGCCTTCCTTAGTACCTCGTGAAACGCTGACCAAAGGAAAGACCACTCTAGGCAGGACCGACTGGACACTGGATACTACAGCTACATTACCTCACCTCGAAAGAGATTCGGGCTGTTTCACCTTCTTGACTTGTCCTTGTTGAGCAAACGAGTACCCTTTCCTCCTCGAGTTTGGACGATTGCCATATTATTATCAACGCCGATTGCAGATTACCTTACCTTGACGTCCATCTACTCCATCGTTCTTGCTTGTCGCCCCAGGTAGAAGTCGAAAACGACCCGCTCATTTATCTCATCTCATTTACACGCCGACTTGCAGGCTCCACTCGTTCAAAGAAACCAGGAAAGTGCAAACGATCCGGAAGGCGGAAAAAAGAGGAAGTCGATACCCACGAGACTGGGTTTTTTATTTCTGGTGCCAAATATAATCTAGGTTGTACCCTTGACTAGGTACTCCAGACAACCCCGATTTCCGAATTACCCACCCACCAGACCAGTCTCGACCCAGTTCAGCCACTCATAACAGTCTTCAGTCACCCTCGTCATTGACTGCTCAGCACTGACTACCGTGCTCTTCTGTCGATCTGGTCGATCTACAGGCTTTGGTTACCTTTCTTGGTCCTTCAGAGATCACATATATACCTTCTGCTCGGATTATTCGGGCTCTGTAAGTTACCTTTCCTCAGGTTTCGAGATCTGATTTTCCCATCCAATCCTCACTGATTGGAGGCACTCGTGTTCTTAGCCTCGAGTTAGAGATATTCTGCTTGTTCACAAGTCTCACTCGATTGGCATCGTACAATGTGTAGCCGCAAGAGGGCGTCTCCCCAAGAAAGATCAAGTTCCAAACTGACCGATCATCCACAGACCACACCAGGAAGTCTCACGCAAAAACGTTGAATGGGCAGTTTTTGAGCCCCCTTCTCCTTGAAACCGGTAACGGTAGTTCGTTTCTTTGACAGACACGACATCTCGCCTCGACTTGTGTAGGGGTATCTGTTTCTTCAGGTATGATTTCCCGTGAGGCCCGGTTATTAATCCTTCCTGCACCCCCCTGGCAACGTGACATAGGCCGGAGGAGCAACCCTGATTGAGAGCTGCTAACCCGTGAAGCGTATCTCTAGAGCTGGTACTTTCATATTCATCGAATTCCGTTTTGTCTTCACGAGGCAACAAACACTCTGGACAATCATTATCGCCTGACCTCAAAGACGACAAACGACGCTGCCAACGACAACCGCAAGCAGAAGGTGGGATGGCGATACTCTGAGTTCTGATTATTGCTTGCACGAAACTGCAGCTCTTCAACACTGAGGATATTACAAGCAGTTCACCATGGGCGCCTGGGAAACTGAGGAGGAGACCGACCCAGTGGTGTCGTTGCCGGCCCGCAACCCTTCGATACGCAACCGTTCTCGAAATCAGTCCCGAGCTTCGCGCAAATCCAGACGGTCCACCACGCCAACGAATAGGTCGGGGAGCTCCTCCCCACCACCTTTGCCCGCCGACTGGAGCGACAAGGGATCGAAAAGAGCATCCAAAGATATAAGCATAGACGACAACATCAGCATTCTTGACCCACGAAGATTTACCCCTACGCTTCACGCCAGTCTAGTCTCCGAGATATTGTCTTTGAGACGTGATCAGGATGAGAAACTTAAAATCATCGAGGGCCTCGAGACATCGCTGCAGAAAACACAAAAAAGAGTCCGACTCCTTGCAGACAACGCTTTTGAACACCACCAAGGAAACCCGGTCATTGAAACGTCAACTGGCACTTCTGGAAGGCGGAACCTCTTCTGCTTTGGATCAACTAGCGAAAGAGCGCGATGAAGCTGTGGAATCTGCAAACGACACCAAGAAGAGGCTAGAGACTGCGCAGAAGAAACTGCGAAACCAGGAGGAGGATATCGAGCGCGTCCATCAGCAATGGACGAAGGAGAAGGATGAGCACGAGGAGGAAAAGCGGAAGCTCGAGGTCCGCGTTCATGTCGCTGAAAGCCGTCTGAAGTTGGTCCTTGATGAGGTTACTGCGTTCCAAGCTGCGCAGACATCCGCTACCCTTGATCGCCCTAAGAGTGCGGCGGGCAGCGAGACCGGACAAGAAAACGATGGCGCAAGCGTCCGAACTCTCAGCTTGACCAACAGCATCCGGTTCTCTACTGTCAGTGCAATGATGAAGCCGACTGGCAATACCTTGGCAGACGAGCTTGATTTCGATGGAGACTACGAGGATGAAAGCGACTACGGTGGCCGTCAGAGTGTCTTGTCTAACCGTGGGCACATGCGGACGACAAGCCGTGACAGCGCGTTCGTGCGGTTTTTGGGCCGTGAGAGCGGCCACATGCGAAATGGAAGCCGCGATACCCTTTTCTCCATCAAGACACACCGAAGACACCAAAGTACCGAAAGCCTTCTCAGATCTGCTAGCATTAATCGTGGAAAGCTGTCTCTGAACCAGTCCACTCTTGATAGACTGGAAGGCTCCGTGATCAAGGAGGACGAGGAGTTGCAGCCGCAAATACCGAAGCCGACTTACGTCGATACTGGAATCCAATACTCGCCGCCTCCTTCCCCCAAGATTGCATCAATCGAACCATCGACTCCTCAACCGGCCCTAGCCCTTTCTCACCAACTATACGAGAGGCCATCTGACGTCGATAGCCCACCTCGCACCGACACCGAATCTGAGTTAAACCAAAAAAGAAAGAGGGTTCACCTTGGCGGTCCGCTGTCAATCAAGACACCCAACACGCAGAACTTGATGGTGAACGGAGCGACGCAAACCAACGCGGAGCCACTCAGCCCACCTCGAACACCAAAGTTGCCAGTTCAGGAATCACTACCCATACCCCAAGCGACCCCGTCTACTATGGTCACTTCTTCCACCGCAAACCGACATTCCTTCCGTTCAGCTGCAGCCACCAGCTCCTGAGTCTCCTTCATACACAATCCCCAGTATCAGCATCATTCCTCCCTCGAGCCGACCTGCGTCACCATGCGAGCCACTCCTGCCGCCTTTATCTAAGGACTTTGGCTGTCAGGTCAACATGCCTGCTCGTGTGTCCATGACATCGACTGCAGTGCAAACGGAGGAGATTCGGGTTGACTTGCGGCTGGCTAAGCTCCCCGCCCACTTGCATCCCTCCGCCATTATGTCCAGACCTGTTTCGCCAGCCGTTTCGTCCGTTGATCAGCACGTTGAGAAAGCTAGACAGTTCACTCCAGTACCAGGAAACCTGCCACCTCGGAACCCAAGGCGACTGACCAACAAGCACAGTGTGTCCGAGATCCCATCCTCCCCACCTGTTGTAGCATCCCCGGTTTTGGAAGATATGTATGACGCCTACCCTGGGATCAACGATGATGGGCCGCTGTCCCACTACGACGCTCCTATGCGCAGACTACACCGGATTAGCAGCTTGTTTGCCGGTTTCAATGGACATAGCTCGGACGAGGAAGACTTCATGGATCCGGCGGATCACAGTGATTCGGAATATTGCACAGCTCTATCTGCTCCCCGGCCCATGACCAACTCTAGCTTTGGCAAGCGGAGCTCGGGAAGCGGTGCCCTGATGAGCTCACCAGAGCAAACCTTCTCGCAAAGGACCGCTGGAGTGCTTAACACTCTTCGCAGACTTGAAGAGAAGGAGATCAACACTCCAGATGTCTTCGACTCTGTCAGTATTTTCCATCAACGCGATAACCGCGATTTGGCCCTGGTTCGAACTGCTTCCAGGCGCTCAGGACGATCAACCGCTTCCAAGGCAAATGGGATGCGCAGGGCTGCCTTGGTACAAAGCGGCATCGTCTCCCACTCTCTGGCAAGAACCCCAAGCTTTACCACGGACGCTGCGGAACCGCCATTCCCGATTCCAAAACGAGCTAGTTCGAGGAAGCCTCTCAATGCCAGTAGCCCGAGCGAGGGTCGCGGCGTAACTCGCATGAGAAGTAGTGAGGGGATTCACAGGCGAGGTTCAAGTCGTGGTCCTTATCGGGCAAACAGCATCCGGAAAGCCCGTCCGCCATCGGCAGTCTCGCGTAAGAGAAGCCAGCGGCGTGCGAGCCGGTCCCCTCCGCCCTTCATGCCCCCGACCCAAGCACCCGACAGCCCTGATCTACCTCCTCTGCCGCGCAACGCTATCAGCAACCCCAAGAAGACCGATTCGTTAGGGCGGTCGACAGCGGCGGCGAACATGGACGATCTGCCAGGTCGCCCTACGAGTAACTCAAATCAGTCGACTAGTGTTGTTGATGCTATTGCCAAGACCATGGTTGGTGAATGGATGTTCAAGTATGTCAGAAGACGGAAGTCGTTTGGCATGATGGACAAGAATGGCGATGACAGCAGCAACGAGCGCCACAAGCGATGGGTATGGATAGCCCCCTACGAGCGCGCGATCCTCTGGAGTAGCAAACAGCCTTCATCCGGGAGCGCGTTGTTGGGTAAATCCGGACGCAAATGTGAGTTTCCCTTGCTCGTACTTTGAACTGGCAGATGCTGACTTGATCGTGTTCCTAGTGATTATCCAATCTGTTCTTGACGTGAAGGACGAGAATCCAGCTCCCAAGGGATCCGGCCCGCTCTTCAACAGATCCATCCTGATCTTGACACCTCAAAGAGCACTGAAGTTTACGGCAATCGATGCTGAACGACACTATCTCTGGCTAACAGCCTTATCATTCCTGGCTCATTCGAATCAAGCCATTCCGGAGAACCTCGCGGTCCCAGACCCGAACCCGCAGCCTGAGGTGTTCGAGCTGCCCAAGCCCAAGCCGGTGGCAGTACCACCAACGGCACAAGCGCCCACATCCGTACCGGTTCCCAAGCCCAAGGCGCGAAGACCTATCCGTGATTCTATTCGGTTGACAAAGGCGAAGGCTGCTATCATTCCGACGGGACCTGACAGGATCTTCCCACTGCAAAACGATGAAGACGATGCCGTTCCCCCAAGCATCCCGACCTTCCGACCTACACTGGCCGAGTCTTACGACTTTAACCCGGTGGTAATGCACAATCGTGAAGAGTCTTATGATTCCACCATACCTCCTGCCATTCCTCGGTTCAACGACCGGAACCTGCACGCTGCGCTGCATAATCGCAAGCGTAGTAGCACTGGTGGCTATCTCCCACCGCCGATCTCTTATCGAGGGTTCTCGGGGCCGATGGGTGGAAGCTCCCATGCGCCGTCTGATAGTACAGCCGGCATGAGTGTTGCCGGCTCGTCTGATATCTTCAGCAATGCCGGAGCACCGAGCATCATGGGCTCCAGCATCTTGGGCTCAAGTGGCATGACATGGGGAACCGGGTCTGTGTCCCGTGTGTCGGAGACATCAAGTCGACCTAGTGTTCCCAACTTCTTTGACGCGATTGGAACTGTGCGTATGGAAGCATTCATACAGCCGATGGCTTTCACCAAATACGATGACGACCAGGAGAGTTATCGTCACATGAACCGCCGCCGAAGCAAGGAGTTCCGAAGAAGACACAGCCGGAGCTGGCAGAGGGATAGCATCCTGAGTGGAAACACTCGGATCACACTCGGCAGCGATCCCATTGAGGACTATGGGTACGACAGAGATGACCCGTTCAAGGGGTTCTAAGGAAGCTATTTAAAGCATGGTGTTGGACTTTTACACTCGTTGCCTTTCTTGTGCAACCCATTGCTGGCGCTCATTTATTTCCTTATGTTTGTTTTTGTTGAGTTCGGAGACACCGAAAAGTTGACGGCGGAAACTTTGTGAGCAGGTTAAGAGTTTGATTTCTTAAACCATTAACCCCCTACAATACCAGGCAGGGGCAAGATTCAAAAAGTTAAGACGACGCAAAGATTTACGGACATTAGAGTCCAACATAACCATAACTTCTAAGCCGACCAAAGAGGGGCCCCTCGAAAAGGAGGAGGCTGTGAAAGGCAACGGCACCAACACTTACTCCGAATCCTCACATACTCACCACATACTAACCTCATATCTCCTTTATTTTCCTTCTCATTTCTTTTTCTTTTGCATCCACTTGGAGGTTGTTCTGTATATTATCAAGCATGTGTATACAAGTGTACTTATGTAGTCAACGGCGACGGCGAAGATGAAGTTACAAGCTCACAAGGAGCGTTCAAACTTAAAACACATTTGGGGGAGAATCGCCAGTGACTCCGACTCCTCGGAGGTATGGACTGGTCGAGAGGAGGGGGATTCTATCTTACGATCATAGCCACGATACGTCTGTTTTTCGACGTATGAATGGCCACAGCCAATAAGATAGAGGTAGATTACTGTATAAGTTCACTACTTAACCACTTTGGCTCCCAGCCCTGGAGTCTGTATAACAATTTTGCATGACACTATATGTAATATGGCCAGACCTTCACTGCAGCTTCTATACATCAGCCAAAGGAGCAATACATGAAAACACAGGTTGTGAGCCCACCCGGTCTCCCAGCTGTTTTCCTACCACATGGAAGCATGTAGCAGAAACACATGTAATACGTCCCCGGCCAACCATTCCACAACCATCCACAGCCACGAAACCCACCGGAACCCATCCACTTTTGCTTCAACAAGAGAAAACAGAAAGCTCAACCTAACCTTACCGGAGACCAGGAAGAGAACGCTAGAAGGAGGACTGAAGCACATAACGTAGACAATGCCGGCCCTTCACCTTCCAACGTCACTCGTATCCTGCTCGAACCGAATGAAGGCAGGGACCCGTTCTGCTCTTGCGCTTGCTTTAACCATTTTCCGAGTTCCGACGTCTTCGGTGGCTATAGAGATGAGTGGATAGGATAAAAGCCGTGTCTGGTACCAAGTCTGGAACCAATTCATTCGACTTCCATGCCTTCGCACCCCTAGGCCCTAGCAACCGTTAGTCTACTGGCCGACTGCCAGCTGCTATGCCTTTCTGGTCATGAGAGAGAGAGGGGTGAGTGGTTGACGGAAACGAGATCCACAAACAAGAAAAAAAGAAAGGAAAAGCAAAACCCGACAAAAAAATCCCAAATGCTACCACCACCTCTGTCCCGTTTCCCCCTCCCCCTCCCTTCTATTATCATTACCTCGTTTGTATATGGCGTAAATCATGACCCCATATCATCATTCGTGGACCAATTTGGGGCCCGTAGAAAAAAAAAAAAAAAAAAAAGAAAAAAAAAAAAAAAAAAAAAAAAAGATGACAACAAAATAGGAGCAGCAGACAACAAAATAGGAGCAGCAGAATACTCAATCATACCATCATGGACAAACCAGTGAGAGGGTACACAATTCGGCACCGCTCCCTTACTGGGGAGAGAGAAATCACACTGATCCCGCCTCTCAAAAGTTCCTCCTTGTGTTGACAGTCTCATCACTTCGTCATCCTCCTCCCCCTCCCTTCCTTCCCCCCCTTCCCTTTCTCCTGTTTATCTCCTCCTGCTGCTGCCGTCTTCGTCGTCGCCGCAGGCTCCTGCATCCCAGCCAACCACCCCTTAATCATCTTCTTGCTATCCACCTTCATCTCCTTTTCCGATTTAATCTTGGAGTTGAATTTCTTGGTCTTGGTAATCGTCGCTTTTCCCGGTGGCGCGATGACACTCGGCGCGCCCGTGTCGAGGGGCACGACGACGGTGGTTTCGCTTGCTGTTGGTACCGTCAAATGTGGCTTCTTCCTTGGTAGTTTTGTTATCTTCGGCTTGGTAGTTATGACAAGTGGTTTTTTTGTTGTTGTCACTGATACTGGTTTCTGGGTGGAGGTCTTGGGGACGGTGACTTTGGTGCTGCTTATGTCTTGCTTGCTGATGCTGATGGAGGGGGAGCGAGAGGGGGAGCGGGAGGAGGAGGATGTGCGAGCGGTTGAGGGGCGGGTGGAGGTGTTTCGTGTTGTTGACTTTCCGTGTGTGGAGGATCGGTGCGGTGAGGTGGAGGGCATGCGGCGGGTTTGCGGGCCGCCGCCGTGGGTTTTGGTTACGGCGTAGAAGATGGAGAAGAGGAGAGGTTGCTTGTGGCTTGGGTCGTGGCTCTTGGTGCGTTTGTGGTGGTGGTGATGGTCGTGGCTGTGGCTGTCTTTGTGGCCTTCTTTTTGCTGGCCTTCGCTGAAAGTATGCCGATGGGGGACTCGGGGACGGTAGTGCGAGGATGTCGGGACGCTGGTGTCAGCCCCGGTTGTATGTCTTCGCTTTGGTTTGTACTCTCGTCGCAACGATGGGACTTCAGCGGGAGATAAGGGTCGAAAGGGTTCTGGCTCGCGAGTGAAGACCATGGGCTCCGCTTCTTGCACGGTTGGCAAGGGCTCGCTTTCACGATAGCCATCGTCATCTGACGTCTGGACCGAAACATCATCGCCCGAGACTGAGGTGGCGTTTGTGGTCGTACCTGGATGTTGTTCCTCCTCATCGGCGGCCGAAAACTCCCCAATGGGCTCCGACTCCGCGATCTCCGCGTATCTGGGTTCCGGGTCTTCCATCACCTCGGGGCTCTCTGGCATGATCACAGCGGTTTCTCCAGGGAGTTTCCATGGGCTGACCGCAACTGCTGGGTGGTATTCCTTCTCCTGAGGAATCTCTATGCCTCCCTCATAATCCGCCCCATATCCTTCCGCGTAGCCTCCCATGTAATAACCCTCTGTGTATTCATAATCTCCCCAGGTGCCTGTAAAACATGAGCTTAGTCCCAACAAGAAGGCTTGCGGATGACTTACCGTCGGCTAGTCTCCTGGCTCGATAGAAGTAGGTTCCATCTTCACTTGAAACCCAGTCTGACCACACCTGCCCCTTAAAGTTAGTTTTTGAAGCTGCCATGTTCGTGAGGGAAGATCATCTCACAGGCTCGATCTTGACCACTTTCTTTTCCCGCTTCCATGGAAACCACTTGAAGCCCTTGGCCGAGTGCTCGGTAGTATAGGCTCGGTGCCTTCCTGGCATGATGATGGAGACAAGGCAAGATCCTTGAGACCTGCACCGAAGAGATAGAAACAGATGGAGTGGGCCTCTGGTTGACTAAAGCAGGTACAATGCCCTTCAACGAGATGGCCAGGGGCAATACGACCCTCGAAGGATGATATTCTGAGTTTGACTGGACCACGCGGTCCCGACAGTGTGCGTTCTGTTTTTACGATGAGGCAAACAACGAATGGAATTTTGGATTTGCAAGAAAAGGATCTTGTGATAAAACGCACCGATCCCACTCTGGGAGAGGGACGGGCATAAGTATGAGACGGGAAGCCCACATCACCAGGGGTAAAGTGTGCACGACGGCTAACATCAACTCCTCAATTACCGAAACCGATGGAGTGACCAGACAGGAAAATTTCCACTCGGAACTGAGATGTCATGTAGCGTCCAGCGCTAGAAGTTGGCAGATACCTCCTGGGAAAAGTGGTGAGACGTCCAATCAGGGACAACACCAGTTGGGACATGATGGTGGGAGGTGGGTGGGATGCAACCGAAAGCTGCCGTCGAGCTTGTAAAAAGCTTGCTAGTACCGCACCATCACCACACGATCCAGCTCACAGAGAGGATAAAAAAAAGGGTGGAGAGAATCTAAAAGTCCAAGACGAAGGAGCAGATGCAGATAGACCATGGTCTCGATGCACCCTGCATGCAGCCTATAACAGCCAGTGCTATGGAAGATCAGTCCACGCCAAACCCACTTGCCGCAGCTCGACTTTGAGACCGTCTCCTCACCCATTCAGCGGTTCGTGGGGTTTGATCACAAAGGTTTGGGCATCAAGCTGACAACACAGCAATTGGCCGACGGCCCACTTGGCCAGTTTGAAGGATGGGACAATATGGCCCCTTACTCGCTGGACAACGTAGCCATGCCAGCCGTGGTCGTGGCAGACAGGGAGAACGAGGACGGAAGCACGGAGTCATGATGCAGAGGCACCTGGGTACGGGTGTATCTCGGGTCGCGTGCAGGAAGTCTGGAGAGCGTCGAGAGTGGTTTCTGTCCTGCATCACATTCCCGACCTTGGCTGGCAGGATATGGTTGGAACGAGGCCGACAAGGAAGGTGGGAGATGCTCGTCAACGGTTGGCTTGTTAGTGATGGGGACGGGAGTGACTGTCCAATACTCGGGGGCGCGGGTGATATCGAGGACCAAAGGACCGCACACAATCCATCCAACGTATGGAACATCGGAGAAGGCCCTCGTTTAGAAAGAAAAGGTTCGGGATGCTGTGTTCAATGCGTTGGACAATCCCATTCCCATGACGGCCGCCATCATGCGACGACTCGGAACATGAACCGGGAATGTTGAGCGATAACCGAGTTCGGAGGAGGACAAGTGTATGACACAACAGGTCGGTCAACTAAGTGCTAATGGTTTAGAAAAAGGATTGTTTAGGTCAGTGAATGAAGATGACGATATTTTTTGATATGTCACTGAATTCGAACGATGACTGAATGTGAGACGATGTTTCACTGAATGCGGGGACAGCACAGAAGAGGCGTGTGGGGAAATGTTGGAGGCTGGAAAAGGCGACAACGGCAAAAAGGGTTGATTGGAGTTGTCTAACGGAAGAGGAGAAACGGAAACCAGGGTGGCCTAAATACCCCAGAAGGGAGTGCCAGTGAATGGGCGGCCCAGTGCCATTCACTGGGCACGGACTTCCAACAGGAAACCTCCATACTTTGAAGGACCTCAATGTCCGGTACGTACCCTTCATGCTCTTCAGCTGGCCGCCACCTGTCAAGATCAGTTGGAGACGACCTTGGTTCTCCGACGAAATTCCCAGCAAGCACCGGGCTGACAGGGCTGCCGCGTTCACGTCAAGGCAACTGATAGCATCCACTATCATCGCGAACCAAGTCGCCTGTACTTACGGCATACCATCCTAAAGTCCAAAACCATCACCACCAAGAACCACAGTTCGCCCTTCCATATTGTCAACAACCAAAACCCCACGACATATCCACACAAGCGCCAACATGACTTCCACAATTGGTATTCCCATCAAGCTTCTCAATGAAGCTCAGGTTAGTAAACACAACACCATTGCCAAGTACAGACTGTGTTGTTGCCAAAATGCTAACCAAGCTACTCCTGTCCAACAGGGTCATATCGTCACTCTCGAGATCACCTCCGGTCAGACCTACCGTGGCAAGCTTATTGAAGGTACTATTCTCCATCTTAACCTCGATCTACCTTTCCATCTACTACAAGTCAAGTGCCTATCCATGCTAACCAATGCGCTTCTCCAGCCGAGGACAACATGAACGTCCAGCTCAAGGACATCACTGTCACAGCCCGCGACGGGCGCGTCAGCCATCTCGAACAAGTCTACATCCGCGGCAGTCATGTGCGATTCTTTATTGTGCCGGATATGTTGAGGTATGGCCACTTATCACCCATTGCGATTTACGATCCCACCCATGGATCGCCCTGGACACCCAAGCTAACTTCTTTCTTCCCTGTAGGAACGCCCCCATGTTCCGCTCCCGCAACGTCCGCGGCCGCGGTGTCGGTCTCGCCCGCGGTCGTGCGACAGTCAGCAGGGCGCGCGCGGGTGGTCGTGGCAGTGCCAGGTAAAACGAGACCCAGACCGAGAAACATTTTAAAATTGCAACCGCAATGCAATGTTGGAGCAGCAACAATAATCGGCGTATGATGGTTCTTTTTTCGACCGTTATTTTGATGATATTTAGGCGTTTTGGGGGACAATAAAGCAATTCTCGATTTTTTCGGCAGCAAAGACGGTGGAAAGAGAAAACGAAAAGTGATTCGAAGCTTAGATGGTCATAGAAGGGGGGCACGTGGGGAATAGGGAGGGCATGCCTAGGCCGGACAGAGAGGAGAAGGGACCGAAGTGAGTGCTGGAGACGGGGCTGGAGGGCTGGAGGCCGGAACAATGGGGACGGGAGTGACTGGGAAGAAGCCAGCCAGTCTATCCATCCACTTGCTGCAAAGCGATGATCATGGGAAAAGCGTGCCTGTGGCGTCTCTTGCTCCCAGGGTTTCTCACGCTCCAGCCAGCTGGACGATAATCATCAGTTAGGGGCCACAGCCGCTACCCGTCCGTCAGCACGCAACGAACCCCGGGGCAAGTTTCGGATGGTGACGAAGATGGCCAGCGCAGCAGCCAGAGCGCGAAAGCGAACCATCAGCTCGCCTCAGATTTCATACGCCTTTTCTTTCTGGCGGCCAAGGGGGCAAGCGCAGACAGCATGGATCAAACTGCACTGAAAGCGAAACCTCTACTCTATTAGCCCTGGTTCTAACATAGACAGGGTACGTATCATCGTCTTTTGTCTATTTTGTTGTACAAACCCACTTCAATCCTCAGCTAGTCTCGCTGACAGCCAGATATCTACCACAAAAGTCCAGTGACCCTTTTTTCCTTACCTCTCTCGGCTTGCTTATGATACATGGAGTAGTACCCGCCTGTCCCTGAGCGTGAAGCTCGCATGAGATCCGCTCGCAACAGGCCTCCCCAGAGTGAGAGTAAACGACGTAGACTATATATACAACTAGTTACTGGTTACAAAGACGGGTTGGAGGGAATTATCTGAGGACATCCACTCTCCCAGTTTAGGGACTGACGGGCAAGATAGGCCTCTGGAAAAATAAACACGAGAAGGAAAAACGGAAGCAAGGTTGGTAAGATCTCTTTTTGAGCATCTGTTACATCTCAACATCTCTACTTCAACCTCGCCAGCGCCTCCTCGGCCCGCTTGAGGGCACTCTTGGCCTCCTTCAGCTCCTCCAGCTCAACCGCCACATCTTCGGGCACCTCAGGGGAAACGCTATCCAGCAACTCGGCAATGCTAGCCTCGGTTGCGCGAACGGCCTTGCGTCCTTCCTCACGGACCTCGCCCTCCCAGAAATCTCTCGCCCTCTCCCACCTTCTCTGCAAGCCCCTCAAGCTCAACGCAATACCCAGCGCGGCAACGGCTCCGCACTCGTACACGCCAAATCCAGAGAGCCAGGACATGCCGCCGAGTGCCGTGGTGGCGCCCGCCAGTGTTGATGACTGTAGCACGAGCTTCTGCGCTAGCGCTTGCAGGGCCGGAACAGTTTCCGCTTGTAGGTAGTTCCTCGTGAAGGGGATATGCGCGGGCCAAGTTCCCTTGGTCTCAAGTCCCGTAGATTCCGTAGTAGTAGCAACGCTGCCCTCGCCCTCAGGGAACGACGGTGGCACCGCCGGGCCAGAGTACGTCACCGACTTGTCGCCGCCAGCAGTAGTAAGGCCAGTAACACCAGCCTCCTGAAGCCTGCCGGCCAAAAAGATCAAGCGCTTCTCAGCCTCGGGCAAGAACCGCTGAGCCACCATCTCGGACGACAGCATGCCCACGTCATCCACGCGCCAAAACAGTTTCCACCAGTTCATCTGCCTCCACGCCTCACCGACAAACGCGATCTCCAGCTGCTGCTGCAGCTCCTCGTGCGCATCCTGAGCCCACTCCGCCAGCGCCTCATTCAGGCGCGCAACCGTGCGCGGCGACGGACCCTCTTCTACGGAGAGCTTCATGTCGCGGTACTCGGCCGCCTGGAGCGCCGCGCCGGTGTTGCGCAGGACGGATTCGACCAGGTTGCGCACGGGCGCCTTGGTGGTGCCCTGTTCGGTTCGCGAGAGCACGTTGGACCGCAGCCACTTGTTGATATGTCCCACGCCGGCCTCGGTCCAGAGGGCTTCGTACTTCATGGCGTTGCTGGCGCTCTCGCGGAAGAGGTCGAGGCCCTGCGCACCGGACTCAACGCTCGTGATGACCAGGGACGGGCATGCGGCCTTGTCTTCGGCGCTGATCTTCTTGAAGTTGGCCACGGCTGTGATGGTGTCTTGGCCCTCGGGACTGATGGGCAGCGACAGGATCGAGGCGGCGCCCAGCACGCCGTCGCCTACCAGCACGGCCATGTGTACGGGCGTGACGATGGGTGCTGAGTGGCCGGCGGTGGTGGCGGCTGTGTCGACGGCGGGCACGAGGATGGCGTCGTCGAAGGTGTGTGGCTCCGAGCTCGCCTGCGCGACGGCGCCCTGGTCGGCCTCCATGACCAGCATCTCGAGGTTGGCATCATTGTAGATGTGCGACGGCACGGTGATTTCGGGAATGACGTGTTCACTCGCGGCAAGTGATAGCGGCGTGGCTTGCTCCTCGGGAGGGCCGATGTGTACGATGAGAGGCTTGGAGGGGTCGTGGGCCTTGAGTTGCGCTTCCCAGTTTTCGGCGGACTTTAACGGATCGGCGAGAACGAGACGGAGCAGCTCCCTGGCAGTGTGTTGGGGCTTGTCGCCGGTGGTGAGGCCGAGGAAAGCGACTCGTATCGATTCATGGCCGGGTTGTTGGCTGAGGTTGCGCAGAGCGAGCTGGAGGCGCGGGAGATTGACGTAGTTGGGTGCGTGGGTTTGTAAGTCGCGGAGAGCGCTCTCGAGGTCTTTGCGGGGGTCAATTGGTTCGGCGGGATCGATGGCATCGGAGGACGTGCTTATGAAGGGTCGGAGCGGGGTGGCGCCGGTCGATTGGTATCGTGGTCGGACAGCCGGAGCTGCTTCTTGTTGTT